ATTATGGTAGGAGCAGTGGTGGTCGCGCTGTGGGGTGGAGGGCGGTGGGGACAGGGAGCCGAGGGCAGTGTCAGGTTTATGTGCACTGGGATGCTACAAAGCCATGCCCTGTGTGCTGACTGCAAGACTGGCCTCGTATTTCCTCTTCATTCTAGTCTTTTTCTCCAAGTAGAAAGATGAGCTGAGTTCAGTTTTAAAATCTTCCCTCTTGGGACTCCAGTGCTATGATTTTTAAGACTTCCCATTCTATCTCTTCTTCTTATAAAAGGCAGGAAGTAGATTTGTAAAAGCGGGACACCTGTCTCTTCTGAAACATGCCTGTGCCCAAGCCCCCCCCCCCGCTAAGACAGAGTCCCTTGGGGACCATGGCTGGTGGGGGTGGGCAGTCACTTTTTTTTTTAACTGGCTATTTAAGTCATGTAAGGCTCAAAGCCATTTTTGTTAGTCTTTTTAAAAAATTAATGTTCATTGAAAATGTGAAATAGAAATGGAAAGTCTTTTCTGAAGTGAAAAGTGTCATTGGGGTTTTGGAAGAAAAATTGTGTGGACGGTAATAGGAAGACTGGGTGAGTGATCAGGCTGCTCTGACAAAGACGACGGCTGAGCAGAAGTTTTATTGTCACACAGTTCTGGAGTCCGGACAGCCTAGGTTCAGGTGAGGAGAGAGCTGGCTCTTCCTGAGGGCTGTAGGGATCCGCTCTGGCCCCTTCCCTGGCTGCTGGTGGTTGCTGGCGACCTTTGGCTTGTGGACCCCTCACCACACTCTGTATCTTGACTTCACATGGGATTCCCTGGTGTGCTTGTCTCTCTGTCCACGTTTCCGCCTTTTGTAAGGACAGTCATTTTGGATTCGGGTGCACCCTAATGACCTCCTTTTACCTTGATTACCTCCTTCAACACCTGACCTGCAAGGAAGGTCAAATTGTGAGGTCCTCGGGTTTAGGACTTCAACTTCTGCATTTTGAGAGAATGCAATTCAACTCACAACAGGGACAGTGAGTTCAAAGGTAAACATTAAAATGTTCACTTTGTGTCTTATTTAAAAAATCAGTGTAACTTTCAGAAATTAAGTTCAGAATCAGGCCAACAGTCTGTGCTATTGGAAATCAAAGGTGTAGTTTCTTCTGCGCACAGAGGCTGGGAAGGGATGAGGAGTTGTTCCTGGGCTCAGCTGGGGTCTGTTTCTTGACTTGGGTGCCATTTCCGTGGGCGTTTTTGTTGGTGGTGGTTCATGTGTGGTACTGGGAATTGAACCCAGGGCCTTTGCCCTGAGCTACATCCCCAGCCCTTTTTAAATTTTTATTTTGAGGCAGAGTCTTGCTAGGTTTCTAATTTGCCCAGGCTGGGCTTGAACTTGCAATTCTGTGCCTGAGCCTCCCAGGGTGCTGGAATTACAAGCGTGCGCCACCATGCCTAGCTTGTTTTGGCTGTTTGAGACACACATCGAGCTGCTTGCTCCTCATTAGAACCTTCCTCTTTTCTGAGTCTTAGACGTTAATAAAAAACTTACCTAGAAAATCTAGTCAGCATATGCGTAAGTCAGGACATCTGCCGCCTACTTCCACTCTGATTTAGAGGTTGGATTTTTGTGTGTGTGTAAACACTGAGATGAATAATTTTCAGCCAGAGCTGCAGGAGAAGTGGTGGTGATGGGGGTAGGATTTAGGGATTAAACAGCAGGTGCAACTTGTTCATTGTTGAAAAATGGTGCTTTTCACAGGCCTCCCTGGACACCTGGACAAGAGACTTTGAATTCCACGCTGTGCAGGTAAGAACTTGGGGCTTCCGCTGTATTAAGTCGAGGCATCCAGAGAAGAAACATTCATTCATATTCTCTCTCACTCTCTCTGACACACACACACACACACACACACACACACACACACACACACACACAGAAATATACTCTCTCTCTCTCTCACACACACACACACACACACACACACACACACACACACACACACACAGGGCGGGGAGGGGAGGGAATGAGATTTATTTTGTTGAATTGGTTCACCCGATTCTGGGGTAGCACATCCACCATCTGCAGAGCAGGCTTGAGACCTATGGGTGAGCTGATGGTGCAGTTCAAGTCCAGAGGCATCTAGAGACCTTTTTCTTATCTTTTTCTTAAGGCCTTCAATCGATTAGACAGGGCCCACCCGCATTATGGAGGATAGCCTACTTCGTAGCTGCTGATTTAAATGTTACTCATATCTAACAACTACCTTCATGGGAACATCTAGGCCAATGTCTGACCAAACAGCTGGGCGCTGTGGCCCAGCCAAGTTGACAACTGAAATTCACCATCACGAATGATCCAAAGGATCAGTCAGTCTCAGCCCCAGGCATCAGGCCCTGCAAATGCTATCAACATTCTGAGTTAATACCTGCAGAATCCTGCCATGAGCAGGTGGCTTTATCAGAATCCCCTCAGACCAGATGGTGCTTTCTATGTTGTGCTGTCTGTGTCCCATTGTTTTGCTATAATCACACACCTATCTATGCCTTCCTGTTCCTATCTGGGTAAGAGGTGGAGCTTGCAAACAGTTCAGGGTTTCCTAGCTCAGTGGCTAAATTTATGAACCGGATTTTTTTTTAATTAATTTATGCATGGCTTTCCTTCTGTGGCAAAATTAGGCTTTCTCTTATGTAATGGGCAGCAAGGAACTAAGACCAATCAGCCAGTGGCCCCCAGGCCCCCGAGCCTTCCCAGGTGTTAGTGCTCCGCACTTGGTTGAGGCTCCAAACAGCTGCGTAATATGGCTCCCTGATCATCAGATTAATCGGGAAACTCCAGCAAAGCTGGCAGCGAGCCGGACTTGACAGGGTTGCTTGGAGAACACAGCTTTGCTGGCTTTCACCCCCGGGCTCCTCTGCTGCCAGAATCCCGTTCCACAGTCCATTCTGAGTGAGGGGAGAGGCCAGTTTCGCAGGCAGCAGATCTTCCTCCAGCCTGGGGTGAAGCAAAAGCTGAGAGCATCCGTTCCTGTTAAATTAGAGCACATGTATTCATTCACACCATAGAGCAGGTGCAGTATGGATTTGTGCTGACCCTCGAAGAGCCACACTTTGGGGGATCACAGAAAAGGAAGCAGTTAACTCAAGGAGAGGTGACTTGCCCAAGGTCACCCAGCAAGATACAGACAGAGCCGGGAGTGGATTCTAGATGTCTATTCTGACAAGCCACTGCCATGCCAGTGTCTGGGAGCTCCAGGAAGGGTCCTGTCATTCTGCAGGGGCTGTCATACTCCCAGTGGCAGAGCCATCAGGGACCAGATCTCTGAAAGACTGAGTCTCCTTGTTGGCTGCCGGGCACCTGCACACATTTCTCCACAGGATCTCAGGGGACCAGCATCCCCCACCACCACCGCCCCGGCTGTATCTTCTCCTTCATCAAACAATATAAGACACTGAAAGAGTCTGGGGGTAGATATTCCTTTATGGGGCCACATTTTCAAATTCTCAGTTTTGTAAATGTCCGTGCATATTTCCAGTGGGTGGGAACAGTTGATAGAGAACAAAAAGCTGTACTGTGGGCGGCATGCATCTGGGCCCTGTGTGGTCCCCTCTCCAGTCCCCCTCGAGGGTGCAAGACTGTACTGCAGGTGCAGGGAAAATGCGCTCAGAGCCGAGAGCCTGAGTCCCCTCGCCAGCCAAGGCCTACGTGGGTGCTGGGAGGATCCGAGAGAAGCCAGGTCCCTGCAGGCCGCAGCACTGCTGAGTGGGGAGCACGCCTGTGGAAGGGAGGTGTAATTAGTCCCTCTGAAGATCTTTTTCTGTTACGTAAAGCAGTTTGGTATCCTGCTTCCTAGGAAATTGCTTTTGGAGAAAATAGACCATGCAAATGAAAAAGTATAACTGGGTGATCAGTTGCGTTTGGTAACTTGTGCTTGGAGGAGGGCAATGGGATTGGCTGTCTGTCAATAAACTCATTTCTTCTGAGCAGTTGACCCTTCTACATGGACAGGCCCAGGGTCTCTCGAACTCTGGGAGTGGTCAGAAATGAACACGGGTCCCTAGAAACTGCTTACTGTGAAAAGCTCTGATTCCTCTTGTCTGTAGGAAGATGTTTTAGGGTTTGGGGGAAGACACAAGGTCTCGGGATGGATCCATTTTTCTACAAATGACTTGAGTACATCTTTCTTCATGGCAGAGCAGTCCTGCATTGTGTGTAAATACCACACTTATCCACTCTTCTGTTGATGGGCATATAGGCCATTCCTGCAATTTGGCAATCATGACTCCAACAATCATAAACTTGGGTGTGCATGGATCACTGGACTATGACGTCTTCAACTCCGTATTTTTTTTTGGACCAGGGATAGAACTCAGGTTCTTGCACTTGGGAGGCAGGCGGGTGGCACCACTGAGCTAAATCCCCAGCCCCTGGTCTTCGGTTCTTTCAGGAAGATTCTTAGAAGGGTAATGGCTGGGTCAAATGGAATTTCTAGTTCTAGTTTGTTGAGAAATCACCACATAGATTTCCAGAGTAGTTGTACTAGTTCATGTTACCACCAACAAAAGTACGTTTTTTTCCCGTTTAATGTGTTAACAGAAATGGTGACTGAGAAAGAGAGACGGAATGAAAGAGGAGAGACAGAGGCAGAGAGATTGAACTGAAGGCAGAAATTCTTCCCAACTTTTCAGGACAGATCTGTCTTCTCCCTTTCGGTGTTCCGTGTGTGTGTGTGGCTTGTTTTTTGTCTTAGGCCACTGTGATCTGGAGCACAGAGGTCCCCTTAGTAGCACCCTAAATGTTTTAGGCCATTTTCTGCTGCTCTCAATGAATACCAGAGAATGGATAATTTACAGAGAATACAGATTTATTTTTCATAGTTTGGGATGCTGGGAGGTCTGAGCCTACACTGGCATCTAGCAAGTGCCTTCTTACTACATCAGAACAGGGCATCACATGGTTAGCAAACATGCCCCAGACACAGAGAAAGATCTAGCCGAACTCATCCTTTTGTTCGGAGCCCTCTCCTGTGGTAACTAACACATTCCCATGAGGACAGATTTCGCCCCTTCTGGAGGGCAGAGCCCTTATGACTCAATCACTTTTTAAAGGTCCTAATTCTTTGAATGTGTTTTGTTTTGATTTTGAAATGGAGATCTCACTGTTTGGCCCAGGCTGGCCTTGAACCAACTCCTGGCCTAAGTGATCCTCCTGCCTCAGCCTTCCCCGTAGCTGGGGCTGTAGGCTTTTTTCAGGTCCCACCTTTTAGTACTGTCACGGTGGCAATTAAATTTCAACACAGACTTTGTAGGAGCGTTCAAAGCATAGCATCAGAAAACAGCATGGAGCGCACTGCCACCTCCACAGCCGCTTACAGCTTGCCGTCTGGAGCTGTAGGGCTACAGCGGCCCCTTCCCCTGCACCACCTGTGTCCGGTCTTCCTGGCCCCACCCAGGCTTTGAGAGAGCAGAGCCAGCCCCAGCAAGGGTTCGCAGCATGGAGCTCCAGCCATGAGCATCCGAATTTTCAGTCTGCTCCTATTTTACCACCCTGGGCTGTTTCCTTTTTTAAAATTAATTAACTATATCGGTACATTTAAGATATACGAGGTAGTGATGTTCATCATTGGAAATTTCCGCCTCTCCATCGTCCATTTTGGGTTTTACTTTTCCCCATCCCCCTGCCCTCCGTTCAACCCCTCCACCCCTCCCTGTCTCCAAAGACTTTGTTTTCATTTTTTCTTTTTCTCACGTTATTCCATTCCCATCTTCCTTTTCCCCTACCCCTCCCATTTCTCCTTCCCCTTTGTACCTTCTCTTCCTATTTCAAATTATCTATTATACCTTTTAGTCCTTATTTACACTTTTAGTTTCTCACACTAGAGAAACTATTTGGTATTTACACACGTGTGTCCTGTTTATTTCACTAAGAGTATCGCCTCAATGTGCATCCATTTAGCTATAAATGTCTCTAGCTTCTCATTCATCGTGGCTGAATAGTACTCCATTTTATAAAAACATTTTCATTATCCAGTCTCCTGTTGATGGGCAATTGGGCTGCTTCCAAGTTTTAGCTGTCACAAACTGTGCTGCTGTGAACATGGGTGTGCATATATCACTGCGGTATAGACCGAGGGAAACAGAATCCACCTTGCTAGAGAGCTGCATCGGGATCCCTGCGTCCTCAAGGCGGGTGACAGCTGTGCAGGTGCAGACGGAGTGTCGCCTATCAGTGTGCTCCGTCCCCAGCAGGATGGGCTCCTCTGGCTTAGACCAGGCAGCTGTTGCCTCCTGAGATGGCTCTGAAAGCCCAGCTCCCTTCCCCACTTCTCCTTTGGTCCCTGTTGTTGTTTTTTTTCCCTACTGAATGGCCTCTGACACCCTCATCAGGGAGGACACTGTTGCAAAAGTGCAAAGATAGGTTTCCTTGAGAAACTTTTCAACAACCAGCATGAAAAATAGATGAGCTCTGTTGAATTGCAAATGCGCTTCAAGTTGAAGGCAAAAATGTGGAAATCTGTCTTCTTTCCTTAGCCGGGGCAAGGTCAGGGATGCAGTTGCCTGTGTTTCTCAGTAAATATCAAGCAGTCTGGAGGGCCAGGAAGAGGACTTTGTGGCATCACCCTTCCCAGAAACTTGAACTCAATTCATTTGAATTCAGTTCGGCTTCCACCGGCCTTTTTTTCCTTTTAGGTTTCAGTAACTATTTGCTCTGCTGTCTGTGAGTGAGTCCCTGGCTTTATGCCAGAGGGTGTGGGGTTGGAGACGTTTCAGACAGTCAAGTTCGCTCCCATCAGGGGATTACAGTCCGGCCCGTGTAGGCAAGGTCTACAGCAGGCAGGCTGCGTCCACGTGCGTTTTCGTGCTCACGTTCGCGGTCGTGTTGGTCGCTGCCTTGGCTTCACTGATGTTGAAGTGCAAGCAGCTGCACCCCAAGCTGCAGAATCATTATTGCAGGCGGAACCTTAAGGCACCACTTTCCAAATGTGTGATCAGAAAGACAATGAGAGTTTACATTAGGAAGGTGTATCACGGTAGAATGCACAGTGCCACGGGTCCACCTCAAAGCACCCCTCATTTCAGACGCTCTTCTCCCGTTGTTCCTGCTGCTTTCGAACACAGTTCTGAAAGTCGTCTCTCTTGGAAGTCGTCTTTCCGGTCTTCTCACAGCTGCCTCGGTGTCCTGAATCGCTTCCAAGTGTTGCAGCAATGTCTGTCCGATGAAAACGTTACCGTGTGTCCTCACCCACCTTGTTTACTGGGTCTGCACCATGTGCCCTCTGGCTCCTCCCCAGAGTCAGAATGAACATGAAAAGTAAACATTTGGAGTCGATTCCGAGCATCAAGGCAGCCAGGACAGCCTAGGTGAAGACACTCACGGAAGAGACTTGCAGAGCAGCCTCCGGAAGTGGTGAGAACGATAGGATAAGGATGGCCAAAGTGAAGCGGGTATTCTGAGAGGGACTAATGGCAGTGTGTCTTTTACCGTAATACATTTTTAAAATGTAAACCGCCAATTATTTTTGGTCTTACAGAGCGTTTGTTTTATTACTATATGTTTGGGTTGTGTAATAATTATGTTCATCACGGGGAGTCGGGATCTATCGTTTCACACCTTGATTCTTCTTACTTTCACTTCCCCTCGTGTCCTCCCGTCTTCTCCTATCCCCGGCTCCTCTTCCTTCCCATCTCCACAGAGTCCACCTCCATGTGTCCTATCAGGCATCTTTCATCTTTTCTTTAATTAAATTTGGGGTTTTCTTTAACCTCCTGTGTCTGATTTATTTCACTCAGCGTTATGTCTCAGAGTACATCCATTTTCCTGTAAAGGGCTCAGATGTTTCCTTCTTTGTGGCTGAGTCTTGGCTGCTTTACTTGAGTTCATTCAGCTTCTTCCAGAAAAAATGGCCTCTTAGGGTGGCCTTGCCCACAGTAATGCACCTTAAACAAGGCGGTGCCTGGGAGCTGAGACCATCACAGCGGGGCCTCGGCTCTTCCCTCAGTCTACACTTGGGGTCGCAGAGGATGGAGAAGCTGGAGATTCTCTGTTTGGATGACTTTCTGAAAGGAATCCCATTGTACAATCTCATGCATGTCTGAGTGTATGTGTTTGCTTCTGATTCCAAGGACAAAAAGCCCAAAGAACAAGAGAAAAAAGGGGATTTTCTTCATCGGCCGTTTTCCAAGAAGCTGGACAAGAACTTGCCCTCACACAAGCAGCCCTCCTCGGCCTCACTCATCACACAGATCCAGAACACCAAAGCCCTGCTGAGGGACCGGAAGGCCTCCAAGTCCAGCTTCCCCGACAAAGGTGGGTCAGCCCTGGGGACCCTGGCACGTGCTCCTGTGGGGCTGTGTCTGCCATGCACTCCCCGGCAGGGAGTGCTGTGTGGGCCCAGGACAAGGAAATTCTCTGACCTCAGGGAAGCTGTGTTCACACATCTGAGGCAATAAGAGAGCTGTCCAGGGCAAGGTGTGGGGTATTAGCCACCTGTGCAGAGTGCGTTTGAGAAACCAGGGTGCATGGCATTATGGGAAGAAGCTGGGGTATACAGTAGTACAGAGCAGAAATGGGGTTATGGCGTTGTGGAGGCAGATATTGGAGTGTATAGGACTTTGGAAGTAGAGATTGGAGTGCATGGTATTGTAGGCCACAGTAAGGGTATAAGGTGTTACAGAAGAGCCTGGGGGGATGGGTGTGCAGGATCTGAGACAGAGACACAGTTTTCTGGAGCCAGGGACGGGTGTGGTGTAGCAGGAATAAACACGAGTGCAGAAATAGAAATCGCGTGCGGGAGCAGAGAGTGAGTGGATATAAGTGTAGATTGGGATTTGGTTTTATTGAAGTCTTGTCCAGAAAAGTCTCCTGGGAAGCCACTGAGTTGTGACTGACTCTGAGCTCTGGGGTGGGGATAGGGTGTTCAGAGCCAAGTTCCAGTCCCAGCTGTACCGCTTGTTGTAGGCCCAGAGGCTCCGTTGGTCCCCTTACTGGTAATAGCTTTTGCATGTTGGAACTGTTGGGTGGATGAAATACGATAGGCACAGAAGTTTCTCCATGGGATTTGGAACCCAGCACATGGTGGACAGCTGATTAATGTGAGTCTCCCTGCTCTCGGATGAGCATTGAAGTAGAAAGGAACTCACCAGGCACAGGCTTAGCGCACGCAGGAGAAACGCCAAGGGAGGAGACACAGGAGCCCCACAACCATGAAGTAGAGAAGTTCTTGTAACAGAGCGTTGTTGAGTCACATCTCATTCCTTTGATATGAAGAAGAGAGCCATGCCCATCTGGGGGCAGCTCAGATTTGCCGGGCACTTAGTGAGACTCCCGACAGTGGCCACTGTCCCCTCATTGTGCAAGTGTCCCGCCTCCCTGACGTGGAGCCTGCAGGGGACCTCGGATGGAGGAGATGCCCGTGCACTGAGCAAATATTGGGACCCTCGCTATTAACAGGGCTTTCCTTCTTTCGGATGATGAATCTCAGGCATCTGAGCCACCTGAGGAGAAGGTCTGTTTTGGTGTCTGTATTTATTTCTGTAGGCAAGGAGGAGTCCTGGTAACCTCCATGGCTCCCGAAACCACTCCCAGTGGGCTGCAGCTTGTTTCTGCAGCTGGGCTTCCGCGGGGCCTATAAAGCGTCACACAGTGAAAAGAATTTAAGCCAGAGCTTATTCTGCATGAATTTGGCTTTATTTTCCTCCGCTCCACATCCGTAGGGGTTTCCCTCTCTTCTGGCACAGTTTACAAACCTGGATTCCAGGTCTGTGCCGACCTGAGACCAGAACCGTGTGGCCTGGCCGGGTGCCTGAGCCATACAGATGGATGCACTGCCCTGCTCAGCATCGGATCCAGATCCATCAAGTTCAAAGTCACGAGGGAGCCTTACCAGGGAGGGGAATCCTGACACATGCTAAAACCAGGATGAGCCTGGGGGAAACGTCATCACAGCACGGCAGACACTGTGTGATCCCACTGGCGTGGAGCAGTTGGATTCACGGAGGCAGAAAGTGGCGTGGTGGCTGCCAAGGTGGGCACAGGGAGGAGAATGGGGAGTTGGGGCTTGGTTAGGCACAGAATATTAGATCTGCTGGCTGAAAAGAGCTGTGGAGATTGTGCCACAAAGCGTATGTATTTAATGCCACTGAACCATATGCTTTAAAGGTGATAAGATTTCTGCTATGTATTTTGTACTATGATAAATTGGGTAGCAAGTGGGCACGTCAGGGAAAGTCTTTCCTGTGTCAGACCAGATTTGTAGGGGTTCAGAGAGTCAAGCTCTGCACCCTTCCAGAAGTTTTATAAGATGCCTATTAAGCACATGAGCCTTTTTTTTTTTCCTCGTTGAGTTTAATTGATATATTTTAGGTATACAGTACAGTTACATTCATCATTGGGATCTTGTACTTTTACATGACAGGTGTTGCGCACATGAGCCTTTTTTTTTTTCCTCGTTGAGTTTAATTGATATATTTTAGGTATACAGTACAGTTACATTCATCATTGGGATCTTGTACTTTTACATGACAGGTGTTGCGCACATGAGCCTTTTGATTCAAAACCCCTTTGGCAGGGTTTAGATTTTGGTGTGGCGGGGGTGCCGGGGATCAAACTCAGGTCCTTGAGCTTGTGAAGCATGTGGCGGAACCAGGGTTTAGAATTTTAAGCAACCAAACAGGAAGCCTGTGCTAACCTGGGGCCCCCTGTCACCGGCCTCCTGTCCCTCCATCCTAGAAAGACTGTCAAGCCTCTGTGGGGTGACTGGATGCTACAGCTGTCTCCTTTCTGCTGTACTAAGGCGTTTCTTTCTCACCTCCTGCCATACAAGGGTCACTGACTCTTACCAAGCATTGGTCTGCACTGGCAAGAGAAGGGCCATGGGCACTGTCTCTGTGGCTGTTGTTGTGATTTTATTTGTTTCCTTGATGTGCAGATTCCTTCGGCTGCCGCAGTATTTTCCGCAAGGCCTCCAATTCCAATTGTGTGGCCTCTTCTTCCATGGAATTCATCCCCATCCCGCCTCCCAGGACCCCTAGGACCCTAAAGAAACAGGACTCCCATCAGCAAGGGCCTGGGATCACCAGCATCCCCCCCAGGGAAGACCCCCTGATGCTAGACTTGGTGCGCTCCTTCGAGTCTGCCGATCGTGAGGACCACATAGAACTCCTGTCCCCGTCCCATCGCTATAGGATCCTGAACTCACCAGTGAGCTTGGCTCACAGGAATTCCAATGAGCGGATACTGTCCCCAGGGCTGCTGACTGGAAGCACATCACCTCTCCAAACTCCTTTGCACCCCACTCTGGTCTCTTTTGCTCACGAAGATAAGAACAGCCCCCCAAAAGAGGAGGGAGTGTGCTCTCCACCTCCAGTTCCCAGCAATGGCCCCTCACAGCCTCTTGGGAGCCCCAACTGTGTGAAGAGCCGGGGGAGGTTCCCCATGATGGGCATCGGACAGATGCTTCGAAAGCGCCACCAGAGCCTGCAGCCCTCGGTGGAGAGGCCCCCGGAGGCCAGCATGCCCCGTTGCAGCCCGCAGCCCCCAGCAGCCTCTCCTTTGACCTGGCTGATGGGCCCAAGGGCCAGTGTTAACCTGGACCAGCGAGATTCTGGATCTCTGTGAGAAAAGCAATGGAACAGAGCTCCGCACATCTATCAGGGTGTGAACAAAGACCTCTTCTACACCTGTTGTGCAACCTCCCAACCATGGGGCAGTCCAAATCCACACACCCAAAGCCTGCACAGCCCAACCTCACCTAGGGACTCCTGAGATGCTGGAAATCCCCAGAAGGCCTGGTTGCCGGGGCAGCCACTTCGGTTTCAGACCGTCCTTTCTCCCACCCACTCCTCCACTCTTCTTCTGTCTCCCACTGCTGGGCTCAAGGCTGAAAACCAGGCAGCCGACGAGACTGATCCCGACCGTGACAGCTGTTTCTTTACTTTCTGCTGTGCGCAAGCTTCTCAGCGACCACTTTCTGTTCAGCAGTGGGTCCGAGCCTCAGAGGGACCAGCAGCACCCAAGGTCTGTTCACCGAGGCCGTGTAGCTGATGGCTTTGGAGTGAAGCTGCCTTTTTCTTGGTAACTAACAGCGAATCTCTGCAGCTGACCCGGAGTGCTGGATTCCAGGAACCTGAAAAACGTGGAGCAGATCCTCAGACTAAAGATGGAACAGTCTGGACCTTGATGGAAGAGAACAGCTAAAGGAAACTCCCACCCAAACAAGATTTTGGTGGCAATGGTGGTGGGAACTTGCTGATGGTTGAATGATCTTGTCCAAAGAGACATTTTTTCTTTATGGGATGTCATTAAATTGAAATAGGTAGGACCTGGGAATTTAGCTCAGTGGCACCGCACCTGCCTGGCAAAGTGCAAGGTCTTGAGTTCAATTCCCGGTACTGGAAAAAAGAAAAAAAATTGAAATAGCATGAGTTTTAGAAATATGGGTGGAGAGATGAAAAGCAGTTTCACCAAACTCATGTTTGCAGGTGAGGATACAACACAGAGGGCAGAAAAGCTGGCTTGGGTGGTTTTTATTGCATTGGACCACAGTGGCCTGCAGGAGGGGCAGGAACCCAGCTGCCCTGAGTTCGTCCTGCTGCCCCAACAGAGCCATGATCCTTCCCTTTCAGAAAGCATGGGACATAGCTGGTTCCTTACGCAGAGAGAAAGAGCGTTGTGGCAGAATTTGGGTGGCGAGAAGGCAACATTATCTCCATGCCGCACGGTTTTCACACTGCCCCGGATATAAGTGAGATTGAGTGCTGTGAAGAGGCCCGCCGGGCAAGGCACGTGTTCAAGTACAGGACGCTTCCTTCCTCCAGGAAAGCAGCACCCCCCAAACAGGGTTTCGGTTCGTGTTGTGTTTTTGCACCTTTTACCAAGGATTGAACCAAAGATGTGTCTCCACTCTGTGACTGTGCTGTCCCCGTGTGTGCGTTTTGTGGACCCTGCCGTTGTCTGACTGCATCTGGCAGGAGCCTGATGGGGGATTCCTCTGCGGAGGGCTGGGCCCTGGCCTTCGGCAGGGGACACTTGGTCATGGGCAGAATTGCAAGAAGGGAAAGAATGGGTGCACTTTGGAATCACTGGACTGAGATGGCACAGGTTGGGGAGCAGTTACTTTAGGAGATGGGCCATGGAATGGCCTGGAATCTTTAATTTTTGACGGTGGTACTAGAGATTGAACCCAGGGTTAGGCAAGTACTCTAGTGCTGAGCTACATCATCAGCACTTTTTTTTTTTTTTTTTTTTTTTTTTTTTTTTTTGCTGTTGTTGTTTTGAGACAAGGTGTCACTAAGTTCCCCTGGCTGCCTTTGAACTTGCCATTCTTCTGCCTCGGCATCCCAGGTAGCTGGGATAACAAGCATGCACAACATTCCTGGCAGGAATCTTCAGCCTTTGACTATGCAGTATAGATACCACTGTGGCCACTCCATGGGGTCATCTCAGTCCATTGATTCCAAGGGGGCCATGTCCCTTGAGAACTGCACACCTGCCTTCATTGCCCCAGCAGCGAGCCTTTTGCCAGCAGAGACTTCCTTGGGCCCTTGCCAGCTCTGATTTGGCAAGGAGAGACCAGATTTCAGAAGACCCTCTCTCCTTTTGACATGAAATGCTTGATTTTTTAATGGGTGGAGAATCCTTTTGTCAAGATGGCTTCCGCCTACAACGTCCCCTTGAGCAGGCTGGCTAAACACGTTCCCATGCACCGTGAGCTTTCTGTTGACCCTTATGTCTTTTCTCCTGCATTTTACTTTCCTCACCAACCTTTGTGTTTCCCTGTTGTTAGCTCACGGAGAACATGTTGATTGTTCTTTGAGAGCAGCTGTGGTTGTGGTACCACCAGCTGCTGGGTTGCCGTTGGCAACGTGGACTCGTGCTCAGGTTTACTCTGAATCAGTGAGAGGAGAGGGGGGTGAGGAAAGGGAATAAGCTGTCTTTTTGGTGTGTTGTGCATACTAAGAATTCTGTGAAACCGAGTGAAAGAAGACATGCTCAGTTCTTTTTTATTATATTTATATGGAAAACTTGACTATCCCTTTGGTACGTACAGAGTGTGTTGTCTGTTTGACTCATAGTTGTCCCTTGATTTGTCTGTGCCTGTGATTTCAGTCAGCCTGTAGTTACTGATGGAAGTGACCCAACTAATTGCCTTGAGAACGAAGTCCAGGATGAAAAGTCCGTTTTAATTGTATGATTTGGTCATAAATAAGAACTATATTTATGTCACCATTATTAAATATATGTACTTTTATAATGACTGTGAAATATACTTTTTCCTCACTCTGACTGCTTCTTTATTTGCTGGTAATCTGTAGTAAAGAGTACAGTCATTTGCCTAAGTTCTTGGCCCATGACTAATTAGATCTAAGTGGGAATGGAGCGGAAGGGTATTTGGGAGTATGTTCTACTCCAGCCTCCCTGCTCCATTTCACTGGCAACAGGCCTGTCTGCACAGGACTGCCTGACGTGCTGCACATGGCCGTTCAAGACGAATCAGCACTTTCTGGTTTTAAGGGCTCACATTCCCCATGGTGCCTCTGAACTGTCTCCTGAAGAATGATGGACATTGCTTCTGGGTCTTGTCCTTGTCTTGGCCCCGGATGAGGGACGATGGGGTAAGGTTGTGGGGGTGGGGGCTTAGAGTCTGTGTTTGGCTCCATTATCACTTCTTGAACTATTTGCACAGTGTTTTTCACATGTCCCTCCTTACTTCAACCCTGTGTCGCTTCTCAGACTAGGAAAAGAAGGCTTAGAGGGTGGCATGGCTAGAAAGTGGGAGGACCGCTTTCCTCACCCGCCAAAGCTCTCTTCCAAGTTGGACTGGGGAGATAAAAGAGAAAGTGTCGAGTTTTCATGCTTTCTTGTGAGAATCACAACATTTTTGGGTAGACAGGAACCTGGTCCAAGCCTTGCTTTTTTGATGAGGAGAAACCTGGCTTACCCAGTAGTTGCAGGACACCTGAGTCCTGCATGAGCCGGCATCAGAGCCGGTCTGGAGCAGGTCCTTAAGGATGCAGAGAAATCAGTGTGGCCACCGTGATCAGAGGGGAAAGATGACAGCGGATCAAGCAGGTGTTTTTAGGTTCCTGCAAGGACCCAGTCTTTTGCATTTTTAAGTTAGTCGAAAAATTTTGTGACCTCTTTGAGATTTTGCAGTTTTGTGTATAACTTTCCCGACTGCCAATGATTGAACATAACACTTTCCAGCACCCCCCCTAAATATGGAAGCTGGAAATAATGTTCTCTGTTGGACTCTCTTCCTTTATAGATCTTCCAAGCAAACAACAATCCCTGTTATCTACTTTATCAAAAGGCATTGAGTTTTACTAGATGAAATCATTTAAACTCTTTGCATATAGCCGTATCATAAAGTGAGACAGTTTCAGAAAGAATGCAAGACTGATATACTTTGGGGGGAGGTCTGGAAGCCTCTTGGTTATTGTATTTTCTTTGTAAGATATTCCATGTGCCATAGGTACCATAAGAATAATTGAGAGCGATCCTGGGAGCTGGTTCAATTCAATGTCATCACTTTTCAAGGAAAGGAGTGTGTTTCCTGAATAGTAAATGAGTGTATTATTTGTGGCAGTTTTTGTTTTTGTTGTTGTTGGTGGTGGTGGTGGTGGTGGTGTGTGTGTGTGTGTGTGTGTGTGTGTGTGTGTGTGAAGGGAGCTTTTCAGACATCTGGTTCCAAAGATAAAAGGGGTACATGTACTTCTCTGTAGATGTGTTTTCACAGCTCATGGTGAGGTCTGGGGTTTGCTGTCTGTGAGCACATAGGAATGGAGGGGACAGGGGAAGCACAGGGCAATGGACTTGACCCAGAAGACAGAAGCATCTCAGGCTTGGCAGCCCCCTCCCAGATACGCACACCTGAGCTGGAGGCCAGATAACGAGGCATTTCGTGCAGCCACATTGGGGAACATCAAATGGCCAAATATGAAGCAAATTCTAGAACCAACTGGAGTCCAGTGGGTTACAGTGAGAAGGTGGTGCATTGTGGAGAGGACACAGACAGGAACTGTTATTCACAGATAAAATATTAAATGGCTCTGACTGAAGGGCTCAAGCTACTTGTAGTCCCTCCTCAGAAGATGGCTGGAAGGCTATTTGGAAAGCAAAGGCTTTGACTTATATTTTAAGTTTTGTATCAGAACAAAAATGTGTACTTTCTAGACCTGTTACCACGGCCACCTGGACAAGGGCTCCTGCAGTCCTGTCTAGGGAACAAGACTTCTCTAAAGTTGGGCAGCACCTTCACGGCTGGTCTAAGCTGTGACCCCTTCATTGGCAGCCAGTGCGTTAGATCAGATTTTGCTTTCACAACACATTCAACAAATTCTGATCTTGCCAATAAAGATGTTTTCTACCCAAGGTTTTCTGAGGCTCACTCACTCCAAAGAAGTTGTTCTCGGGGGTAACTCAGGGATCCAGGCTGCTTCTGGCTTGTGGCTCTCCATCAGTTTATCATGAAGCTTCTCTGGCCGCTACTGCCCAATACGGTGAGCAGGAGAAGCTTCCACCAGCCTTGAAGAGGGCATTGTTTCCTCTCACAGCCCATTGGCTCATATAAGTCCTGTGGCCTTGCCTGCGAGCACAAAGCTAGGAAATGTGGGAAGCGTGTGGCATTGTGGGGTGTAGTAAATATTTCTGTCCCCCTGGGAAAGGCCCAGATGCCTACCACTTAAAGATCCCCTGAACAGGACTGGCCTTGCCTCACCATAGTACAATCATAACACTTCTTTGTGCGTAAGGGTTACTTTTGCTATGTAAGGACATTAGAATTGGTAAGCTTTAGTGTCTTATTTAGCTTAAGGGGAGCATTCGGGGCTGAATTATGTCCTCCTCGAATTCCTGTGTTGAAGCCCCAGGTACCTGAGAATGTGACTGTGTTGGAAGATAGGACATCTAATGACATGAGGTAAAATGAGGCTCTTAGAGTGGAACCTAATCTAATCTGTCCAGTGTGCATATAGGAAGAGACAAAAGGACACCAGAGGGAGGAGAGGCTATGCAAGGACAGTGAGAAAGCGTCCATCTGCCAGCCCCTTGATCTCGAACTTCTGGACTCCAGAACTGTTAGAAAACAGATTTCTGTTATCTAAGACACCTAGCAAGTCACCGCAGCCCTAGCAGGAAGGAAGGCTAAATGATATTTATATAATCTACAAGTCTTACAAATTTTGTTCCATCTACAGA